TAGTAGTTCCGCAAAGTAGTTAATCTTCAGTAGATACGCAAAATAGTTAATCTTTTGTAGTTACGCAAAGTAGTTAATCTTTAGGTCGTGGCGTAATAGGCTTGAGTCAGCCACAGGGTGGAAAGTGGAGCCCGAGTGCCAGAGTGGTCAAGCCACTAAACAAGGCAATCATCTGGAGCAGTTACAAGAGCAGTAGTATACTTTCAAGTATACTACTGTGGTGACATATCCCTTACGCTGCTACGAGGTTGGCGTCCGTGGTCTGGCTGGCAGTGTATGCGTATGTATACATCCCAAAGTAAAATAGTTTGTGTGTATGCGTATGTATAGTTGTATTGAGGGGGGAGATACGCTGATTCAATGTAGAGTGAATGAATTAGTTTCCCTTAGATACCCCTTGACACGAATAGAAAACGTTTATGTTTACTATTTGGAGGGTTGGCGTGCTTCGTGTGTTTGCTGTGTGTGTGTGTGTTTGAGTGGGTTTGGAGTGCGTGTGCTGCACGCACTCACCACTAACGAGTGCTTGAGAGGATTAATTGGCTTCCGGTTCCCAGATCCGCTTTATAACCCCCCGTCAGAAGGCTCATTGACCGACACACGACGCCATTTTCTTCATTCTCAGGAATGATGTTAGTCTCCAGATGTTACCCACCACCTTCCCCGCCTCACTGTGTTGACACCGACGGTTCCTCCTGATGTCTCTCCGACCAGCCCGTACTCCTAAGGTGTCCAAACGTCAAGAAACCGTCGTACTAAAGTGCCCTTATCCTAAACTACCAGAGAACCTAAAACAGAAAACGGGATAGTGTATCAATTTCGCGCGAGCCGCTATACCATTTTCTAGTACGATGATTTTTTGGCCTTAGGTGGAGTGTACGTCAAAATGCGACGTGCTATTATCAGAAGGGTTGTTGGTAAATCGGAAAATCATCCCGATTTACCAACCGTTGGTAAATCAGGATGATTTCCCGGGTGCTATTCTTTTAACCATGTCGTAGCTCAGTCGATTAAGGCAGCGTCTGGGATGCTCCCGGACGTAGGTTCGAACCCTCGTCACGGCCCTTGTGGATTTTGTTCATTTGATGCATCACGCTATAGTGATTTCTATGTTGACCAGACCACACACTAGAAATTGAAGGGACGACGACGTTTCGGTCCGTCCTGGACCATTCACAATCGACTTGAGAATGGTCCAGGACGGACCGAAACGTCGTCGTCCCTTCAATTTCTAGTGTGTGGTCTGGTCAACATACTTCAGCCACGTTATTGTGACTCATCGCCTGCATGTGATTTCTATGTGTAGCAAAATAACATAATTAAACCTCAAGGTTTAGTACACAGGTTTATTCACTTTTATTATGCTTACTTAGGAAGGTAATTAGCCCTGTTGAAATTTATTAATGCTTTCTATATTTTGTTTCATGTTCAATATATAAATTATGTGCATCAGTAATATTAAGTTTTTAATTAATATTAATAGTATGAGTTTATATACTTTTTGCAACTTTTTAACTCTTGATATTTTAACTTAAAATATTTTCTTATTATTATTATTATTATTATTATTAATATTGTTGTTGTCAAACTTTTATTAATTTTATAAATAAAATATCGATTTTATAAAGATTATTTTTTTTGTTTTCTTTATATTAAATATTTTATTATAATTGAACACTTTATTATTATTCTGTTGATATACTACGTAAAGTGATATGATTATATCATATATATATATATATATATATATATATATATATATATATATATATATATATATATATATATATATATATATATATATATATATTTCAGAGTTGAGAATGTTTTAATTAACGTCTGATATTTTCTCCCATATTTAAGTTATTTATAGTGTGAGTAATATTCTGTTAGTTTCGTTATTTAATAAATTGATATTATTTCTGAAACTATAATTATCATATTATGTTCATTCATTTTAAATTCTAATTCTTCACTTTTATCATCATCATTCGGGAGTTTAGACAAATAGTTAGATAACTAAGTATAGTTACAGAACTATAGTTATAGAACTAACAAATAGTTAGGTAACAGGTAAGACAAATAATAATGTTCTTTCAGTGTCTTTCAGGTGAATGAGTGCATCTGTTTTGGTTATATTAAATTATATAAAAACAACTGGCATTTTAGGCTCCACACCTGCACCAGGGGCTCTGTCCTTTTCCCCAGGGGGGGTCCATACCTGTTCCTAGGGGTTTTACATATGCTCCTAGGGTTTCACACCAGTTCTCAGGGCTTCAGACATGTATCATGGATCAACACCTGTCTCTAGGGCTCCACATCTGCATCAAGGGCTCCATACCAGTTCCCAGGGCCTTAAACCTGCCCCAGGGGTCCAAACCTGTCTCCTAGGGTTCCACATCTGCATCAAGGGCTCCATACCAGTTCCCAGGGCCTCAAACCTGCCCCCAGAAATCCATACCTAGCCTCTTGCTGAACTCCACACCTGCACCACGGGCTCTACACCTGCCTCCAGGAGCTACACACGTGTTCCCAGGCTCTACACCTGTTCTCAGAGCAACCTAAAAGCCTAAAACCTACAGAGGTTATACAAAGTATTGCATAACGGGAGAAAATATTGCAGCTGCGCAATGGGATCGAACCCGCATGCCTGAACGTCTTGGGCACGGGCACTACCAACTGGACCATGATGAGCTACTTTCTTGATCTTGCGATAACGTCTTACGCGATCCACCAGCGCCCTGCGCCTTGATCCTTATTTATCTATGTATTTTCACTACCATCAGCTGTATGCGCGCACGTACAAACGCGCGCACGTTTCGTGAGAGATTGGACGTCATTCTAAGATGTCGTTGCTGAGTTGTATTTTTTTTTTGTCATTGCCCATGTTCGAGTCCCGCAAACTGTGTAAAGAAAAATGACTGTACCAAGGTTTTACCTGTTCTAGCACTATGGTGGTCCTATTGGCCTCGTGTGGGCCAATAGGACCACTATAGTGCTTAACGATAGAACCATCAACGCCTAAAACGTCAGTTAACGCGCGCAACAGCCGGATGTAAACACAACACGTGACTACGTGACGTCACACGCAAGGGCCAAGCCAGATGTTTGGTATTTCTTAAGAAAATTAAAAAAATACCGTCTCTTAAGATCTTACGGGGTATTCATGCCCGTGCCACCTCTTAGGTGGTTTAATCTTCATCAATGACTCAATCTCTGAAGATAAATACCTGAGGAACTATCCACAGGTTGTTTAACCATGTACCCCCATCCTTCACATCTACCAGCCATTCGTGTTCCCTTGATCCTATCCGTTGCTCGCATATTAGTAGGCATCCATCAGTCTCAGGAGACTATGGAGTTGCGCTCTGGTTGTCGGTCTGGAGCGGCCTCTCCAGGGCGCAAAGTCAGGGTAGGTTGATACAAGAGAGAAGCTGTTACCCATGCAGCAGGTCCCTCCTCTCCAGGGCGCAAAGCCAGGGTAGGGTGATACAAGAGAGAAGCTGTTACCCATGCAGCAGGTCCGTCCCCCCTCTCCACCGCACCGAAAGTCTCCAATGGAAAGGCCAACACCAATACGATTGGTTCCGGCGCCGTCGAAGGAACTGTCAGAACGAGGTTGAAGGCAACAACGAACTGCCTTATATCTCTTGGCTATAGTCTATCACCCTCTCCCCCTTCCCCCCAACCAATGATATATGAACAGTTGTCAGTCATCCTGTGTTACGGGCTATTCATGCCCGTGCCACCTCTTGAGTGGCTTAATCTTTATCAATCAATCATCCTGTGCAAAGCTTTACTACATCTGTCAGTACGAGAACTTACAACCTGGAGTAACTGAAACCTACATCCAGGTGCGCATGGAATAATAAACAAAAGAGGGGTTACGAGACCTCGTAAAATCATTCGCAAATGGCGATATTTGCACACAGGAGGATGTCGTAACTACGTTGAGAGCAGTGTAAGGGTTAAACGTCTGTGATACTAAGACGCTCTTGCCTTCAGCTAAGAGGGAACTATACTAAGATTTGCGTTCAGTTTAAGACCTAAGCGGAGGACTCAGACGGTCGTGTTGAAAGCGTTTATTAAAGATACGCTGAGATTCTCTGCTTTTGACCGTCGTGAGAATTAAATTTAACTTATTTTTTTAACCCAATCCAGTGCCCAAATTGATTTTTTAAACCCAATCCAGTGCCCAAATTGATTTTTTAAACCCAATCCAGTGCTCAAATTAATTTTTTTAACCAAATCTTATTTTCAATTAGATTTTTTAACCCAATCAGATGCTCAAATTGGATTTTTTAACCCAATCAGAAGCTAAAATATATATTTTTAAAACGCAATCAGATGCTAAAATTTTAATTTTTAAGCTAATCAAATGCTCAAATTTATTTCTAACCCAATCAGATGCTCAGACTGAAATTGAATTTTTAACCAAGTCTGAATACATTTTTTGTAACCCATCCCGATGCTCAAATAATTTTTTGTAACCCATTCCGATGCTCAAATAATTTTGTGTAACCCATCCCGATGCTCAAATAATTTTTTGTAACCCATCCCGATCCTCAAATAATTTTTTGTAACCCATCCCGATCCTCAAATAATTTTTGTATACCCATCCCAATGCTCAAATAATTTTTTGTAACCCATCCCGATGCTCAAATAATTTTTTGTAACCCATTCCGATGCTCAAATAATTTTGTGTAACCCATTCCGATGCTCAAATAAATTTTTTGTAACCCATCCCGATCCTCAAATAATTTCTTTATACCCATCCCAATGCTCAAATAATTTTTTGTAACCCATCCCGATGCTCAAATAATTTTTTGTTTAACTCAATCTGATTTTCTACGGATCACCTCTTAGGTGAGCTTCGAATTGTCAACACAATTCGAAGCTCAATTTGAATTATTTTGTTAAGCAGATTCTCAGACTGAAAGTATTCAATGGTTTCATACAGTTGTATTTATTGTACTGACGCGTGTATGTTTTCTTTCCAGATGACGCCACGACCACAACGACCAGCAGGACGACCACCACGACCACGTCTCCTACAGGTACGACCATTATCAGGGTGAAAATAGCACTTTTCGGGGGACTTAGCGTCCAACGCGGCCCGGTCCTCGACCCAAATGGTGAAATACTGCCAAATTCACGAAGCAGTTACGCAAGCACTTACGAACCTGGGGCCAGATTCACGAAGTAGTTACGCAAGCACTTACAAACCTGGGGCCAGATTCACGAAGCAGTTACGCAAGCACTTACGAACCTGGGGCCAGATTCACGAAGCAGTTACGCAAGCACTTACGAACGTGTACATCTTTTCTCAATCTTTGGCGGCTTTGTTTACAATTATTAAACAGTTAATGAGCTCCGAAGCACCAGGAGGCTGTTTATAACAATAACAACAGTTGATTGGCAAGTTTTCATGCTTGTAAACTGTTTAATAAATGTAACCAAAGCCGTCAAAGATTAAGGAAAGATGTACACGTTCGTAAGTACTTGCGTAACTGCTTCGTGAATCTGGCTCCCAGGTTCGTAAGTGCTTGCGTAACCGCTTCGTGAATCTGGCCCCAGGTTCGTAAGTGCTTGCGTAACCGCTTCGTGAATCTGGCCCCAGGTTCGTAAGTGCATGCGTAACCGCTTCGTGAATCTGGCCCCCAGGCCTCCTTGGCGTATATTTCTCCAGCAGAAAGATGCTATGGACCTCGGCCCTTGTGGCAGAACTAAGACGGAATAAAGTATGAACTAAGACTAGCAAATAGGGCGTATTAGAAGGGAGAGGAGGGAAAACGGAAGGGGGAGACACTGGTCCCCCTCTTTTCCATAAACCGGTGTGTAACACAACCCTCTCCCTCCCCCCCCCCTACACACACCTGTATGACTGGCTTATTCCCCCAAGGAACTGCATTCCTCAACGCCCCCTTCACCAGTAAAAAATATAAGGAGGAAATACTGTCTTTTGGGTAACACGTATGAACAAAAAGGTGAACACATAGAGGACACATCCCCCCCCCACACGTGTCCTGAGAGAGGGGAGGGGGGGTGGACACGTGGGTCCCGTGGAGACCTTGACTGCTTCCAGTTAGTAACTCATCATGGGTCACCTGTCCTGTATACAGGTGATGACTGGCGAATTTTTCATGGCAACCACTGAGGTAGATTATGACATGGCAACCACTGAGGTAGATTATGACATGGCAACCACTGAGGTAGATTATGACATGGCAACCACTGAGGTAGATTATCACATGGCAACCACTGAGGTAGATTATGACATGGCAACCACTGAGGTAGATTATCACATGGCAACCACTGAGGTAGATTATGACATGGCAACCACTGAGGTAGATTATGACATGGCAACCACTGAGGTAGATTATGACATGGCAACCACAGGGGTAGATTATGACACATCAACCACTGAGGTAGATTATCACAGCAACCACTGAGGTAGATTATGACACATCAACCACTGAGGTAGATTATGACACATCAACCACTGAGGTAGATTATGACATGGCAACCACTGAGGTAGATTATCACAGCAACCACTGAGGTAGATTATGACATGGCAACCACTGAGGTAGATTATCACAGCAACCACTGAGGTAGATTATCACAGCAACCACTGAGGTAGATTATCAAACATCAACCACTGAGGTAGATTATCACACATCAACCACTGAGGTAGATTATCACATGACAACCACAGAGGTAGATTATCACACATCAACCACTGAGGTAGATTATCAAACATCAACCACTGAGGTAGATTATCACATGACAACCACTGAGGTAGATTATCACATGACAACCACTGAGGTAGATTATCACATGACAACCACTGAGGTAGATTATCACACATCAACCACTGAGGTAGATTATCACACATCAACCACTGAGGTAGATTATCACACATCAACCACTGAGGTAGATTATCACACATCAACCACTGAGGTAGATTATCAAACATCAACCACTGAAGTAGATTATCACATGGCAACCACTGAGGTAGATTATCACAGCAACCACTGAGGTAGATTATCACAGCAACCATTGAGGTAGATTATCACAGCAACCACTGAGGTAGATTATCACAGCAACCACTGAGGTAGATTATCACAGCAACCACTGAGGTAGATTATCACAGCAACCACTGAGGTAGATTATCACAGCAACCACTGAGGTAGATTATCACAGCAACCACTGAGGTAGATTATCACAGCAACCACTGAGGTTGGTGTGTGAAAATCTACAAATTTTTACCAATTTCAAACCAATTTACTAAGTATTAACAACGTTCTAAAGCTCCCAGTGTTTCAGGAATTGCAGTAAATTGCGATATCTGTCAAATGTGCATTTAATACGGATCGTCTTGATCGATAACAACGTGTGCGCTTGCAGGGGTTGAGCTCTGGCTCTTTGGTCCCGCCTCTCAACTGTCAATCAACTGGTGAACAGGTTCCTGAGCCTATTGGGCTCTATCATATCTTACATATTTACATGTGTTGCCCCTTTAAAGTCAAAACTAAAAAACTTTACATTAGCTCTGCCTGGCTTCCGGTCTCGCTTCCTGCAGGCCAGCGTTCAATCCCCGACCGTGCGCCCAAGTGGTTGGGCACCATTCCTTTCCCCCGTCCCATCTCAAATCCTCATCCGGATCGTTGTTGTTGTTATAGATTCAGCTACTCGGAACAAAAGTGCCAAGTAGCACGGGCTATGGTGAGCCCGTAGTGGACTTCCCTGGCACAGGAGCGGGGCTGTAACTGCATTCTGATCGATTGATTGATAAAGATTAAGCCACCCAAAAGGTGGCACGGGCATGAATAGCCCGTAGATAGCATCCCGATCGCTTCCAAGTGCTATATATAGTCGTAATGGCTTGGCGCTTTCCCCTTGAAAATTCCCTCCCCTCTACCGGATGGTCTGGTGTGTAGTGCGTGTGGCTGAGGCGGCCAGGGACGCGGGTTCGATCCCATTACACGTTCTCGTGATTTCAGATTGCAAGGTGAATGGACGGACGTTCCCTGACGGGTTCCGGGTGGAAGGAGGCGGTGATGTCTGTCAGTCGTGCTTCTGTCTACGCGGAACCATCACCTGTACGAACCTGACCTGCGCCCAGCCTCTGGACGGGTGCACCCCCGTCATGGAGGACGGCCGCTGCTGCCCCGTCATGTACGACTGTGGTGAGTGTCCCATTGTGCTCACCAGGGTGCTCTGTTGGCCACCCCTTAGTTGACCACACCACACACTACACAGTGAAGGCACCACGACGTTTCCGTCCGTCCTGGACCATTCTCAAGTCGAGAATGGTCCAGGACGGACCGAAACGTCGTCGTCTCTTCAATATCTAGTGTGTGGTCTGGTCAACATATTTCAGCCACGTTATTGTGACTCCTCGTCTGCAGCCGTTAGTTGTCGTTGGGAGACACGTTAGTGTAGAAGGGAAGGGAACTACCAGGAGAGAGCGTCAAGATTCAGCTACTGGCAACAAAAAGTTCCAAGTAGCACGGGCTATGGTGAGCCCGTAGTGGACTTACCTGGCACAGGAGCGGGGCTGTGACTTGTGTTCCATGGAGAGAGTTGTTGTTGTTATAGATTCAGCTACTCGAAACAAGTTCCAAGTAGCACGGGCTATGGTGAGCCCGTAACTTACCTGGCACAGGAGCTGGGCAATTAGCACGGGCTGTGGTGAGCCCGTAGTGGACTTCCCTGGCACAGGAGCGCTGATGTGTGATGGAGAGAGTGATTGATTGATGAAGATTAAGCCACCCAAAAGGTGGCACGGGCATGAATAGCCCGTAAGTGGTGGCCCTTTTAAGCCATTACCAGTATCAAGAGCTGATACTGGAGATCTGTGGAGGTGCGAATGCACCCTACATGACGGGAGATGTCTCCCTTGTGAATGTGTTAAGATGAAGATGAAGCCACCCAAAAGGTGGCACAGGCATGAATAGCTCGTAAGTGGTGACCCTTTTGAGCCATCACCAGTATCAATAGATGATACTGGAGATCTGTGGAGGTGCGACTGCACCCTGCGTGACGGGAGATGTCTCCCGTGAACCATGGAGAGAGTCAAGCGAGTGTGACTATATAGCACTGGGAAGGAGTCAAGATCAGGATTTGGGGTGGGATGGGGGAAAGGAATGGTGCCCAATCACTTGGTGGTTCGGTTGGGGATTGAGCACCGGCCTGCATGACGCGAGACCGTCGCTCTACCGACGGTCAATGTAGATATAATATACAATTTGCAGAGACTAAGTCACAATAACGCGGTTGAAACCTCTTCCTCAACCCACACACATGGCCAGTGACCACAGTCTTGTAATATACATATATATATATATATATATATATATATATATATATATATATATATATATATATATATATATATATATATATATATATATATATATATATACACCATATGTATTTTCTTCTGTCCTCTATGGACAGGGTTAGAGATCTGTTAAACATATAATTCAGTGATTTATTGAACAATCAACCACAGAAGGTGATTGTTATGCTTTTAAAATGCTAATCCAGCATTTTTGCAAGATTAGCCAGTGAGGGATGCAAGCAGTGTTATAAATACCCCGTAATCTTCTGTTATAGAATAATTAATAAAATATACATTTTTGTTTTATACCCAGATGGCGAAGCCTCGAAGACCCAACACGCTCTTCTGTTAAAGGTAAAGTATCGTAGCCACTGGTAAATATTGAAGCCATATGACCGGATCAAACCTTCGGTCCTGATCTTGTACTCACCTAGTTGTCCTTGCGGGGGTTGAGTTCTGGCTCTTTGGTCCCCGCCTCTCAGCTGTCAATCAACTGGTGTACAGATTACTGAGCCTACTGGGCTCTATCACATCTGCATTTGAAACTGTGTATGGAGTCAGCCTCCACCACATTACTGCCTAATGCATTCCATTTACTAACTACTCTGACACTGAAAAAGTTCTTTGTCATGCATTGTGCGTGGGCCTGGGACAAAAAGTTCCAAGTAGCACGGGCTATGGTGAGCCCGTAGTGGACACAATTTACCAGTCGATAAATTTTTGACAAGTTCCATAACGAAAGCGCTCAGATTATTTTCCTTTTCATTTCTATGTGGATAATTTACGCATAACTGAATAATGTGCCTTTTGTGATCATTCTTGTAATATGTTATTGAATATGACAAAAGAGGTTAGATGAGTGGTTCCAGTTCGAATCCTTTCATCTCTTGGTGAAGAACGGACTAAGAGGTATGATGATTCGTCAAGGAATCATTCATCTAAACCTTTCGATCGTATTCAACAGCACATGTCTGCACCAACGACTGCCTTTAAAACATGCTAATGTACCATGTATGTGTAGTGTCTTGTGTATATGTGCTCTGTGTGTGTGTGTGTGTGTGTGTGTGTGTGTACTCACCTATTTGTACTCACCTATTTGTGCTTGCGGGGGTTGAGCTTTGGCTCTTTGGTCCCGCCTCTCAACTGTCAATCAACTGGTGTACAGATTCCTGAGCCTACTGGGCTCTATCATATCTACATTTAAAACTGTGTATGGAGTCAGCCTCCACCACATCACTGCCTAATGCATTCCATCCGTTAACTACTCTGACACTGAAAAAGTTCCTTCTAACGTCTCATGTGGGTACTCAGTTTCCACCTGTGTCCCCTTGTTCGCGTCCCACTAGTGTTGAATAGTTTATCCTTGTTTACCCGGTCGATTCCTCTGAGGATTTTGTAGGTTGTGATCATGTCTCCCCTTACTCTTCTGTCTTCCAGTGTCGTAAGGTGCATTTCCCGCAGCCTTTCCTCGTAACTCATGCCTCTTAGTTCTGGGACTAGTCTAGTGGCATACCTTTGGACTTTTTCCAGCTTCGTCTTGTGCTTGACAAGGTACGGGCTCCATGCTGGGGCCGCATACTCCAGGATTGGTCTTACATATGTGGTGTACAAGATTCTGAATGATTCCTTACACAGGTTCCTGAACGCTGTTCTGATGTTAGCCAGCCTCGCATATGCCGCAGACGTTATTCTTTTTATGTGGGCTTCAGGAGACAGGTTTGGTGTGATATCAACTCCTAGATCTTTCTCTCTGTTCGTTTCATTAAGTACTTCATCTCCTATTCTGTATCCTGTGTTTGGCCTCCTATTTCCACCACCTAGTTTCATTACTTTGCATTTACTCGGGTTGAACTTCAACAGCCATTTGTTGGACCATTCACTCAGTCTGTCTAGGTCATCTCGTAGCCTCCTACTATCGTCCTCAGTTTCAATCCTCCTCATAATTTTTGCATCATCGGCAAACATTGAGAGAAACGATTCTATACCCTCTGGAAGATCATTTACATATATCAGAAACAGTATAGGTCCAAGGACTGACCCCTGCGGTACTCCACTCGTAACGTCTCGCCAATCTGAGACCTCACCCCTCACACTGACTCGTTGTCTCCTGTTACTTAGGTATTCCTGTATCCAACGGAGTACCTTCCCTTTCACTCCAGCCTGCATCTCCAGTTTTTTCACTAGCCTCTTGTGTGGCACTGTGTCAAAGGCTTTCTGACAATCCAAAAATATGCAGTCTGCCCACCCTTCTCTTTCTTGCCTTATTTTTGTTGCCTGGTCGTAGAATTCAAGTAACCCTGTGAGGCAGGACCTGCCATCCCTGAATCCATGTTGATGCTGTGTTACAAAGTTCTTTCGCTCCAGATGTTCCACTAGCTTTCTTCGCACAATCTTCTCCATCAACTTGCATGGTATGCAGGTTAGGGACACTGGTCTGTAATTCAGTGCCTCCTGTCTATCCCCTTTCTTGTATATCGGGACTACGTTAGCTGCTTTCCAAATTTCTGGCAGTTCCCCTGTTGCCAGTGATTTGTTATACACCATGGAGAGCGGGAGGCACAGTTCTTCTGCTCCTTCCTTTAGTATCCAAGGGGAGATTCCATCTGGACCTATAGCCTTTGTCACATCCAATTCTAGTAAACACTTCCTTACTTCCCCGCTGGTAATCTCAAACTCTTCCAGTGGTTCCTGGTTAGCTATTCCCTCTCTTATCTCTGGGATTTCTCCTTGCTCCAAGGTGAAGACCTCCTGGAATTTCTTATTCAGTTCCTCACACACTTCCTTGTCGTTTGTAGTGAATCCTTCTGCCCCTAACCTTAATTTCATAACCTGTTCCTTTACTGTTGTTTTTCTCCTGATGTGGCTATGCAGCAATTTAGGCTGAGTCTTTGCCTTGCTTGCGATGTCATTTTCGTATTGTCTTTCTGCCTCTCTTCTCATCCTAACATATTCATTCCTGGCATTCTGGTATCTTTCTCTGCTCTCCAGTGTCCTGTTATTCCTATAGTTTCTCCATGCCCTTTTACTTTGCTGCTTAGCTAGCCTCTGATTAAACCATGGGTTTCTCATCTTCATTTCACTGTTTTCCTTTTGGACTGGGACAAACTTGTTTGCTGCATCCTTGCATTTTTGCGTGATGTATTCCATCATATCTTGGGCCGTCTTTTCCCTGAGCTCTGTTTCCCATGCTATATCTGCTAGGCATTTTCTTATCTCCTCATAGTTTCCCTTTCGGTATGCTAACCTTTTGGTTTCGGTATCCCTTCTCGAGTTCAATAACCCTTCTTCAATCAGGTACTCAAACACCAATACACTGTGGTCGCTCATTCCTACTGGGTCCTCAAAACTGATTTCTCTTATGTCAGAGTCGTTCAGGGTGAAAACCAGGTCGAGTCTCGCTGGTTCGTCGTTTCCTCTCATCCTTGTGGGTTCACTGACATGCTGGGTTAAGAAGTTTCTAGTCGCCACCTCCAGTAGTTTGGCTCTCCACGTATCCTCGCCTCCATGCGGTTCCTTGTTCTCCCAATCAATCCTGCCGTGATTGAAGTCCCCCATGATGAGCAGGTGGGATCTATTTCTACAGGCAGAAGAGGCTGCCCTCTCAATTATAGTGTTAACTGCCATGTTGTTGCTTTCGTACTCTTGACTGGGTCTTTTGTCATTTGGTGGAGGATTATATATTACTGCTACTACTATCCTTGGTCCTCCCATTGTCATGGTGCCTGCTATGTAGTCTCTGAAACCCTCACAGCCCGGGATAGCCATCTCCTTAAAACTCCATTCCTTTCTCATGAGTAGGGCCACTCCTCCTCCTCCCCTACCTTCCCTCTCTTTCCTTATTATTGTGTACTCCTGGGGAAACACGGCATTCGTTATGATTCCAGAGAGTTTTGTTTCAGTGAGTCCAATTACAGTCCAATCCAATGAGTCCAATGTCCAATGAGTCCAATGAGTCCAATGAGTCCAATGAGTCCAATTCAGTGAGTCCAATTTGTTACCAGTGAGTCCAGTGTGTGTGTGTGTGTGTGTGTGTGTGTGTGTGTGTGTGTGTGTGTGTGTGTGTGTGTGTGTGTATTACCTAGTTGTGTCTGTAGGATTGAGCTCTAGTTCTAGTGTGTGTGTGTGTGTACTCACCTAGTTGTACTCACCTAGTTGTGTCTGCAGGATCGAGCATTGTGTGTGTGTGTGTGTGTGTGTGTAGAATAACACACATATTATATATATATATAGATGTTTTGGAGATGCTAAGATGTTTTGGATATGCCAAGATGCTTTGGAGATGCCAAGATTATATATATATATATATATATATATATATTAGGCGCAATATTAGATGCGCCTTTAAAAAGAGGCGCATGTAATATTGCATAATGTTTCGTGCCCTGTCATGTTGCTATCACTGAGGTGTTGCAAGCAGCCACCATTCGCTGGTAACGGTGCAACTTTGCCACAGGCTAAGGAGCTCAGCCCCCGGGAAGAGGACCCGCTAACCTGGCAGAACATGGCAAGGAGAAGCCCCGGCGGTGTGGCAACTATTGCTGACGTGGGCAACGCTGAGGTAAGCAGGAAAAACCATATTTGTTGAGATACTAAGATGTTTGTAAATATTAAGATGTCTCTGAAGATGCTATAAGATGTCTTTGGATATGTTAAGATGTTTTGGAGATGCTAAGATGTTTTGGAGATGCTATAAGATGTCTTTGGATATGTTATAAGATGTCTCTGGAGATGCTATAAGATGTCTTTGGATATGTTAAGATGTTTTGGAGATGCTAAGATGTTTTGGAGATGCTATAAGATGTCTTTGGATATGTTAAGATGTTTTGGAGATGCTAAGATGTTTTGGAGATGCTATAAGATGTCTTTGGATATGTTAAGATGTTTTGGAGATGCTAAGATGTTTTGGAGATGCTATAAGATGTCTTTGGATATGTTAAGATGTTTTGGATATGTTAAGATGTTTTGGATATACTAAGATGTTTTTGGAAATCCTATAAGATGTCTTTGGATATGTTAAGATGTTTTGGAGATGCCAAGATATTATTTTAGCATATCAGGAAATTGAAAATTAAGGTGAGAATTTACTTTAAAATAATCTAGATTTGTGAAGAATCACGGAAATAGCATTTGGTATAATGTCTATTATCGTATATATATATTAGCAGAAAAAAACAAATAACTTGTCTATTTCACAGACAATGTGAAATAGACAAGTTATTTCTCTAATAATATATTAATACACTGATAGTATACTTTAGTCCTGGACATAACGTTTAAAGCGTATTGGTCAGTAAGGTATTGTGTTGGTCTTAATAGCCCTCCAGAGGCTGATAGGCCTCAAATTGAACTAGGCCTCCAGATAGGCCTTCAACCTACCTCCAAGCCACACCAGTTCCTACATGTCAGGCCCAACCACTTGGGGTGGACGGTAGAGCGACGGTCTCGCTTCATGCAGGTCGGCGTTCAATCCCCCGACCGTTCACCAAGTGGTTGGCCACTATTCCTTTACCCCCGTCCCATCCCAAATCCTTATCCTGACCCCCCTTCCCAGTGCTCTATAGTCGTAATGGCTTGGCACTTTCCCACTGATAGTTCCCATCTCTTACCCACATGCATATCATGAGTGTAGATAATATAATATGTGAATTCATTATTCATTCCGAGAATATAATGAATGAATAGAGGCCACTCGAAAGGAGCGAGGATATGCTATTCATGCCCGTGCCACCTAAAAGGTGGCACGGCATGAATAGCCCGTAGGTGGTGGCCCTTTTGAGCCATTACCAGTATCAATAGATGACACTGGAGATCCGTGAAGGTGCGACTGCACCCTGCGTGACGGGAGATGTCTCCTGTCCGGATTAGCATTACTACAAGAGGTCTTATAGGATCAATGGGAAGCTGTCTATTGCGATACATCGACCTCCCCCCCCCCCCCTTCCCACGAATACTACTGAGTTTGCATTACTCGGCATAGTAGGCAAGGCCTGATTTGCCTAATAGGCGAAGTTATTTTCATTATTTAAAACAAAATTGTTTCCAGTTACATTCTTGTAACATTACATTACTGTCTTGTAAAGCCACTAGCACGCGTAGCGTTTCGGGCAGGTTTATTTCAATATTATTATATTAGGAACATGAATTACTGATTTAGTTATTTTAGGTTAGGTTAAGACAGGTTAGGTAGGTTAGGTTTGGTCATATTTCTACGTTAGTTTTAACTCAAAATAATAAACAAATTATATCATATGTAATGGAAAGCTTTATCATTTCATAAGAAAAAATTAGAAAAATATATAACTTCAGGAAAACTTGGCTTATTAGGCAAATCGGGCCTTGCATAGTAGGCTAAATAGTGCGTTTAGGCTATTAGGTACAACATATATACGTGTGTGTGTATGTGTGAGAGAGAGAGAGAGAGAGAGAGAGAGAGAGAGAGAGAGAGAGAGAGAGAGAGAGAGAGAGAGAGAGAGAGAGAGAGAGAGAGGTAAGTTAAACACCTGTATGCGTTTAGGTGGACATAAATAGGAGCTGCCTTGTATAGGCCAGTAGGCCTTTTACGGTTGCCTTAATTTTTCTTGTGCCCTAATCTCACTAAGGCAAATCTCCATTTGGACACAATTAACATTGTACAAGAAAAGGAGAAGATTTGCTCATTAAATCACTGTTTTGATTTTGTCAATAACTGTTTATTCTTTCCACAGCAAAATAATTATGTGATTATTTGTAAACAAATCAGATCAGTAACAGTTTTCATTTGATGTTATCCAGTCTCCAGTTTCTCCACCTCACACGGCTTCTCTAGAAGCTTCACAACCAACTATAAACGAAACAATTGCAATAGATGATGCTGCAATAGATGATGCTGCAATAGATGATGCTGCAATAGATGATGCTGCAATAGATGATGCTGCAATAGATGACCCTGCAACAGATGACCCTGCAACAAATGAGGGGGAGACAGAGGAAGAAATGGAAGACGAACAGCTTACGGACTCGACGGAAAGTCCCGAGCCACCAAGAAAAGCAGTCGCAAGGTTGCGACCAATAATGGCGCGGCCCTCTCGTGCAGACATTGCAAAACGTCGCCAAGAATCTCGCTTCGGCGGCCCGCTCCACCTGAGCCCACCGAGGATCCTCCGTCAAAGCCAGTCCAACCAACCTACTTCGGAGACTCACAGCCTCGGCGGCCCGTTCCAGCAGAACCCGCCGAGGGTCCTCCGTCAAAGCCAGCCCAACCAACCTACTTCGGAAACTCCCAGCTTCGGCGGCCCGCTCCAGCAGAGCCCACCGAGGATCCTTCGTCAAAGCCAGCCCAACCAACCTACTTCGGAGACTCACAGCCACGGTGACCGGTTCAGATATCGAAGTCAGCCCTCGAAATACGCAGCCACCAAGGCTAAAACCACGCCTACCCTCAAGCCAGTTACACCCACATCCCCAACACCCACACCTTTCGAACTCACCGATACACTACAGGTCCTGGCCGACACAGAGCGCTCCAGCATATCTCTCACCAGGCCCATTACCACGACACAGGAGCCCTCCACCACGACAAATGAACTAGCCAAAACGCCTAACACTAAAGTCAGATCACAACCCCATGTTCCATCTGGATTCTCAAGATTCAGATATTCTGCCAAGACCACAGCAACAACAGGGCCCGCTACAACGCCCTCCTCGACATCCAGGCCGCCAACCACAACCCTCACAGCTGCCCCAGATATTCCCAGCGTGAAGCCACGACTTGAATCAAGTTCTGAGGTAGTCTTAAAGACAATCTATCATTTATTCCATTATTTTGACAGTCAGACGTAACAAAACATATCGAAATCAATAAACAGCTTGGAAAATTTTGAAAATTATTAAAAAAAAATAAATAAATAATGCTGTTTTTGGTATATATGTAAAAGGTTACATCTGGTTGTTCATGGTTTAACTAAGCTATTCATACCGTATTGGGCTGGATACTTGTTCTAAAATGACAACTAGCGATACGACTCGTAAACCTTCTTAAAACTCAGTTAACAACCCTACCTATATCGACTTGGACTGGTCGGTAGAACGACGGCCTGTAGGGTCGGAGTTCGATCCTCCAACGATCTAAGGGGTTGGGCATCATTCCTTCCCTCGGTCCCCATACTTCAGCTCCTTGTCCTAGTATACCAGCTCCTTGTCCTAGTATACCAGCTCCTTGTCCACTTATCCCAGCTCCTTGTCTTCATATCCCAGCTCCTTGTCCACTTATCCCAGCTCCTTGTCCTAGTATACCAGCTCCTTGTCCACTTATCCCAGCTCCTTGTCTTCATATCCCAGCTCCTTGTCCACTTATCCCAGCTCCTTGTCCTAGTATACCAGCTCCTTGTCCACTTATCCCAGCTCCTTGTCCTAGTATACCAGCTCCTTGTCCACTTATCCCAGCTCCTTGTCCTAGTATACCAGCTCCTTGACCACTTATCCCAGCTCCTTGTCCTAGTATACCAGCTCCTTGTCCACTTATCCCAGCTCCTTGTCCTAGTATACCAGCTCCTTGTCCACTTATCCCAGCTCCTTGTCCTAGTATACCAGCTCCTTGTCCACTTATCCCAGCTCCTTGTCCTAGTATACCAGCTCCTTGTCCACTTATCCCAGCTCCTTGTCCTAGTATACCAGCTCCTTGTCCACTTATCCCAGCTCCTTGTCCTAGTATACCAGCTCCTTGTCCACTTATCCCAGCTCCTTGTCCTAGTATACCAGCTCCTTGTCCACTTATCCCAGCTCCTTGTCCTAGTATACCAGCTCCTTGTCCACTTATCCCAGCTCCTTGTCCTAGTATACCAGCTCCTTGTCCACTTATCCCAGCTCCTTGTCCTAGTATACCAGCTCCTTGTCCACTTATCCCAGCTCCTTGTCCTAGTATACCAGCTCCTTGTCCACTTATCCCAGCTCCTTGTCCTAGTATACCAGCTCCTTGTCCACTTATCCCAGCTCCTTGTCCTAGTATACCAGCTCCTTGTCCACTTATCCCAGCTCCTTGTCTTCATATCCCAGCTTCTTGTCCTCATGTCCCAGCCCCGTGTCTTCATATTCCAGCACCTTGTCCTCGTATCCTAGTTCCTTGTCCTCATATCCCAGCTCCTTGTCCTCATTTTCTTTCTCAGTGCTGTATAGCCTAAGTGCTTTTTCCTCATAATTACCTGACGATCTATGACTGAAACGCCTCTGACGTTAAAGCTCATTATCCTCTCTCTTAAACAAAGGTAATGGGCCTTCCACTCAATACGTTCAGATTGAAACGGGATGACTACATGCCTGGGCTCAATCCCCGCTGACAAACCATACGTTTACCGAGCATTGGATCGACGTTAATAACGTTGATTCGTTGTCACAAAACAACGACATTTGTTCATATCTGCCTGGAGTAATGCTTACAGCTTTTGACGTTGTTTATTTAAGGGGTACGGACAGGGCAGTCACCTATATTTAAGTCTACCTTACAGTTCGCTTTCTGTGTCTTCCTTAGAGACCGTTTTCTGTGTCTTCCTTAGAGACCATTTTCTGTGTCTTCCTTAGAGATAGTTTTCTATGTTTTCCTTATAGCCTGATACAATTCTTAGATAATATAGCTAATTCTTCGCTATAGTGATGAAAGTATAATGAATAAAAAAGTTGTCAATCCAAAATATATGTGAGTAATGCGACTCATCTGCTACTATCGCAAAAGATATGTAATTTATCCAAGAGTTACCTAAATCATCCACGTTGTATCTGAATAACTAAGGAAGTATCTAAATTGCCTATATGGTGAGTAAATAATCTAGTAGTTATTTAAATAATCTAATCTAAAAGTTACCTAAGTAAGCTAGAATTAATCTAGCTTAAATTCCAGGTCACCTAAATAATTCAGAAGTTATTTAAACAATCTATTAGTTATCTAAATAATTCAGAAGTTTTCTAAATTATCCAGAAGTTATCTAAACTATCCAGAAGGATATCTATCGGGATAAGGCTTTGGGATGGGATAAGGCGGGGAGGGAGGTATGGGGTGGGTAGGAGGGGGGGTAGCAATGGGGGGTGGGTAAGAGGGGGGGGGTTATTCCTTGACGTGAACTAGAAGGTACAAAAATTCTATCTTTTGCTGACCCGGGGCCGAGGACCGGCCACGAACTTAAGAGGCTTCTACACAAGCTTAGAATGGACGTCGTGAACGCTTGAAACGTTGACGCAAGGTGTTGGGAGAAGAATGAAACGTTGACGCAAGGTGTTGGGAGAGGCTTGAAACACTGACGCAAGGTGCTGAGAGAAGCATAAATCACTGACGCAAGGTGCTGGGAGAAGCTTGAAACACTGACGCAAGGTGTTGGGAGAGGCTTGAAACACTGACGCAAGGTGTTGGGAGAGGCTTGAAACACTGACGCAAGGTGCTGAGAGAAGCATAAATCACTGACGCAAGGTGCTGGGAGAAGCATGAAACACTGACGCAAGGTGCTGGGAGAAGCATGAAACGCTGACGCAAGGTGCTGGGAGAAGTATGAATCACTGACGCAAGGTGCTGGGAAAGGCTTGAAACATTGACGCAAGGTGCTGGGCAAGGCCTTAAACGCTGACGCAAGATGCTGGGAGAAGCATGAATCACTGACGCAAGGTGCTGGGAGAAGCATGAAACGCTGACGCAAGATGCTGGGAGAAGCATGAATCACACGCAAGGTGCTGGGAGAAGCATGAAACACTGACGCAAGGTGCTGGGAAAGGTTTAAAACATTGACGCAAGGTGCTGGGAAAGGCATGAAACATTGACGCAAGGTGCTGGGAAAGGCATGAAACATTGACGCAAGGTGCTGGGAAAGGCTTGAAACATTGACGCAAGGTGCTGGGAAAGGCATGAAACATTGACATAAGGCGCTGGGAGACGCTTGAAACATTGACGCAAGGTGTTGGGAAAGGCTTGAAACGCTGACACAAGGTGCTGGGAGAAGCTTGAAACACTGACGCAAGGTGCTGGGAAAGGCTTGAAACACTGACGCAAGGTGCTGGGAAAGGCTTGAAACACTGACGCAAGGTGCTGGGAAAGGCTTGAAACACTGACGCAAGGTGCTGGAAGACTGACGCAAAGCGCTGGAAGACTGACGCAAGGCGCTGGGAGACGCTATATTTAACACCCAATAAGACTCTAAGAAACGACCGTCAAGACCCAGACTCAAAGACTGGAACGAGGCTGTTCGCTATAATGACCAATTAGCCTTGTCTTAACTATGCTCACCTCTTCACACACACACACCCTCAGATGGAAGACATCACCGGACTTAAGACACTCTTAAGACGGTCTAAAGACGTCACCGGACATCATCTTAAGACATCACGTTTTCTTTACTTCATTTAGTGTGCTCGACAGAACTCAGTCCTTGACCTTATTAAAAACTTGTTAAAAAGCAGTAAATAATTCTTAAATTTGATTCAATTTGATATGCTAAATATATTTAATATTTAAAATTTTTAAATTTAATAATTTAAACTTATTTGATTTACAAATTATTTGATTTAAAAATTACTATATTTAATCATTTAAAATTATTTGATTTAAAAATTACTATATTTAATCATCTAAAATTATTTGATTTAAAAATTATTTAATAATTTTAAACAAAATGTAAAATTTTTGATTTTTTTAATTTAATTTAATTATTATAAATACTTAGTTAATATAATTTATGAATAAACATTTTTATTAATCTGTGCTTCCTAAAATAAATCTTTGCTTCTGTCAATTTATTTTTGGTGATGGGATATACAATACCCTATATATATATATATATATATATATATATATATATATATATATATATATATATATATATATATATATATATATATATATATATATATATATACATATACATATATATATATATATATATATATATATATATATATATATATATATATATATATCCCTATAAAATGTTGTAGAAGAGAGAGAGAGAGAGAGAGAGAGAGAGAGAGAGAGAGAGAGAGAGAGAGAGAGAGAGAGAGAGAGAGAGAGAGAGAGAGAGAGAGAGAGAGAGAGAGAGAGAGAGAGAGACCATAAACATATGTAATTGTCTCGAACTATCGTTCCAGGTCAGCGGAGTGGGTTATGTAGGAGAAGCCTTTCGGCTCCAAGACAAGAGGCGACTCGGAACCATTCCTCCACGGCGCCGCCTGCCACCGATCTTCAACTGGAAGGACACTTCGGTGGCTGTCGGAACGGGAGTCAATGTCAAAGGCAACACGGAGGACACTAGGCGCTTCGGCCCGATACTCGTCTATGATAATCGGGTGAGGACCGACCGCAAGCACAAGGATGTGGTCGATTTGGAGAGGCTTCCGGAGACCACGGTCAGACCCGAAGACGAGGAGGAGGACGAGGTAGCCGCCGTCACTGATGCTCCAGTCGAAGACACAACTGTGTTTATTTACGAACGTCTGGGAGAGGGAGAGGAATTTGAAGATGAATCTATAACCAGTAGCGACGTGTTAGACTCTGAACCATCGTTGGAGGAAGTAACTACTTTGCCTTCGTCATTAGTTCTCCCAGACACGACCATTAAACCTGAAGAGGCTTCCTCTACAACAACCAAATCAACTACCACCGCGGCTACTACAACCACCACCACCACTGCTACAACTACCACTACTAAAACCACCACTACCACCACCACCACCACTCCTGAAGAAGAGGAGCCATCACCCACCTTACCCTCCATCCCAGCAGCCGTACTAGAGGGAGACGACATTACGGACCTCGACTACATCCACACCGAAAGCGACGACCTGCCCACTTACGACATCACTGTCGGGACTTCGGTGTTGACCACCAGCCACGTGCAGCCGCCTGGTGCTGTGGGCGTGGGCGAGGTGATCCCCGTCGACCTCCAGCCCGAACACAAGGCGCCGGATGCCGATGATACCACCGAGGCGACTCGACCATCTTTGCTGGGCACACTCTTCAGCATTTTAACGCGACCAGATCGCCCAGAACGACCAGAACGACCAGATCGCATAGATAGGCCAGATCGGATAGAAAGGCCAGATCGGATAGAAAGGCCAGATCGGATAGAAAGGCCAGATCGGATAGAAAGGCCAGATCGGATAGAAAGGCCAGATCGGATAGAAAGGCCAGATCGGATAGAAAGACCAGATCGGATAGAAAGGCCAGATCGGATAGAAAGGCCAGATCGGATAGAAAGGCCAGACCGGATAGAAAGGCCAGACCGGATAGAAAGGCCAGATCGGATAGAAAGACCAGATCGGATAGAAAGGCCAGATCGGATAGAAAGGCCAGATCGGATAGAAAGGCCAGATCGGATAGAAAGGCCAGATCGGTTAGAAAGACCAGAACTGATAGACCGACCAGAACTGATAGACCGACCAGAACTGATAGAACGACCGGAACGGATAGAGCGACCAGAACGGATAGAGCGACCAGAACGGATAGAGCGACCAGATCACACAGACCTATCAGATGGGATCGAGAAGCCAGAACAACCAAGACCGGAAACGCTGCTACCACCACCACCACCACCACCACCAGATACCCACAATCCGGAAAGGACGAGACCGGAAAGAATCAGACCAGAGAGACCACCCCTGTCTTTCAGACCCCGCCCGAGACCAAGCGCCAGGCCTGACTTCGTCCCTCTTAGATTCCGCTTCACTCCTCCGCCGCCGCCTTCAGAAGAGACCACCACGCCGTCTCCGGTTTCGAAATCCACAGCGGCCCCAGACCCAATTGTCATATCTGCCGTCAATCCCTCCCATCTCCCGCCGAGTCGAACTACACCATCGCATCACCCAATCCTTCCCGCCTTTGTCTCGAGTAACGACCGCAATTCGCCCCATATTCCTCTAATCAATCTTCCCGATCCTATTCACACCCGTCCCAAGTCCCCTTTCAGACCTCCGAGTCCTCTGAACCTGCAGCCTTCTCCGGCTCTCGAACACGCAGGATCTCAGCCGGATCTTCCCTCTGAACCCATCATCGAAGGAGGATTCCAGGGCATCAGAGGTGAGGGTGTTGAACCTACCTTCGACTTCGCGGACGACTATGAGACGGACGGCGAGCCCACCTTGCCTCCATCGCTCCCAAATCTGAAGTGAGATATATTAGGTGTAAGCCACTGTTATTTAGGTGTAAGCCACTGTTATTTGGGTGTAAAACACTGTTATTTAGGTGTAAGCCACTGTTATTTAGGTGTAAGCCACTGTTATTTGGGTGTAAAACACTGTTATTTAGGTGTAAGCCACTGTTATTTTGGCGTAAAACACTGTTATTTAGGTGTAAATCACTGTTATTTGGGTGTAAATCACTGTTATTTGGGTGTAAATCACTGTTATTTGGGTGTAAATCACTGTTATTTGGGTGTAAATCACTGTTATTTGGGTGTAAACCATTGTTCTCAGTGTCATTATGGGTCAGCAGAGGCTGGAATACATGTACTAAAGCGTCTCATCCAACTTCAATTTCAAGCTATAACATAACTCATGAACAAATGCATATAACTCATTACCCTTCCTTACAAATGTAAGAGATAAATCAATTTAAAACTTTAAACATTATTAGTTAAGAACACACAGATTGAATGAAACTACAGAATACCTCTTTGGCCCATCGTAGCTCCAAATCTACATCCACTCAACTTAAATTGATGAAATTGCAATAATTTGTGTATGCCTAACGTTTAGTAAACATTCCGGCGAAGCCTCATCGCCAGAAAACGTGTTCCATAAATCAATAACTGTATTTCCAAACCAGTCCTTACCTCAGGACGTTTGTGAATGTGAACTAATCCAGTTGTAGTTGATCTGTCATTGCCAGAATTAAATACTGTTGCGTTCTTACAGAATCATCCCGTTCGTTGCCGCGGACGCGCTCACTAAGTTGGAACACGGCTTGAGTACCGAGGATTCGCACTCCACACTGCGTTCTGTTGTCCCCGTGTTTATACCTCATGCTGGTGAGTCCTCATGTCCCAGACTGTACCATTGTCTCATTGATTGATGAAGATTAAGCTACAAAAAGAGGTGGCACGGGAGTGAGTATTATATCCATTTTAAACTTTTTTTCTCAGAAGAGGACCAAGTCGGCAGTGAGTCTGAGAATGTTTCTAACGACCACCCAGAGGACGTTACTGAAGCAGCCACGGCCCCTACCTCAGTCACTCTCAGGCGTACGACCCCTCGCCTTCCCGCCGGCGACCGTCGTCCACCACTCCTCCCGCCTCGACGGACTATCATCCGACCCTTGAGTGACGATGGCTTAGCTCGACGTCCGTTCTTGCCCTTCCGTCGGCCCGGGGGAGAACGGCCATTACGTCCATCCCTTTTATCGCGACCAAATTCGGTCGAAGTCGCCACCGCCACACCGGAAATTCCAGACACAACGCCCATAGTAACTCCCGGGCCAAGTGTTCCCTTCAAAGAACTTGAACACCCTGATATCATCCCCACCCACAGCACCACCCATAAGCCGAAGCCGTCAACCACCCCGGAAACTACCACCCCACCGCCAGCAGTCACAACCATTCAACCACAGCTGCCACCTGCTCTACCACCGAAGACAAAAACCACGACCATCATCCCCACCCAAAGCGCACGACCGATTGTATCCAACGAAATCGCCAACTTTCTTCTACAAGATGTCTTCAATCTCCCAGAAGGTCACAACTCGCCGCCTGTCAGGTTCGCGCCAAACCAAGTCACCTCGAAGCCGATAGTTCCGGTGAAGACTTCTGTCGCGTTGCCAGATATTCCGCCGGCCGTCAGGGATCAACTTCCTCTAGCTACTGACCCCGTCTTGGCGTCAGGTGAGTCTAAGATCACCTTTCTAAGCTCCAAACTGCTCGAATACTTCGTGTTGAAGGCGGGTATTTATCCATACAAGTACACTTATTATGAATACATTGGGAGATTATATAAATATTTTGCTGTGATAGAAATTAAAGCTCACATACAGGTAAAAAAAGAAGCGAAGTTTCGGTTTTAAGGATTCAAAACCTCATCACTTATAATTCTTCAGCGAAATTCAGTATCTTAAATTATTAAGTTGATTGAGAAAATTAGCTAGAGCCATTAAGAGGATTCGAATACCCTTGAATACACTCAAGCACACCCCTTAAACCACCGAACCACGATATGTTCAAGGCGTGAGCTTGAGAATACACAGGGTGCAGGATCGAATCCCCATCACGGCCCCTAACTGATTTTCTCCTTGACACATCACGTTAATACGACTTCTTTATGCCCTAGGCTGATTGATAATTTCCTCTAAGCACAAGTATGAATTAACATGCCACCTTAACAATCCCTCACACCTTTCTTGCAGATCAACAAATGCAGTTTTCGAACATTCAAATCACTAAAAATGAATCATTCTATTTTTGTGTTTAGGTCTTCTGAAGCTCTCAGGATGCAACATCTATGGACGCATGTACGTTGTCAAGGACAGGATTCCAGAACTGTCAGCCAAGTGCAAGGAGTGCCGCTGCACTCCCGTCGGGGTCCAGTGCCTACCAATATGTTAGCAGTGCCACTTCAAGAAGCAGTGCCACTCTTGAAGACCCCCCCCCCTGAACCTCCTCTCTCCCCACTATACCCTGGCTCTCTGCCCCGACCAGTGTTGTATATGATTGTTTCCTGTGACGTATATTGATTGTTGTTATACTAAGCTATAATAAAATGACTTATTGGGGATTATTATAGCATGGATATAGGTTGGTGAAAGTGTGGGACTCAACTATGCTTGAAATGTGTGAATATTTTAGTAAAATTAATATTTGTAGGAAATGCTATTTTATTTGGTCAGGCTAATACCTTTTAGGATTGAAATGGTGATGAATATACACATACATACATACATACATACATACATACATACATACATACATACATACATACATACATACATACATACATACATACATACATACATACACACACACGCAAACACACATACACACATACATATGTGTGTATGAAGCTCAACCGACCAAAGAGCCAGAGCTCAACCCTCGCAAACACAACTAGGTGAGTACATACATACATACATATTCGTACACAACCCATTACCCTAAAATGAAAGTACTTATAGTAACTTATATAATCGGAGGGCCCCAATAGTACAGTCGGATTCGTTCTCGACCTACAATCGAGAATTCCGGGTTTCTACATATTGGTACTTCCCACCTAATAGTCACTGTAAGTACTGATTGATTGATAAAGATTAAGCCACCCAAGAGGTGGCACGGGCATGAATAGCCCGCAAGTGCTACAATTTTTTGTTTTTTCAGTATTCTGAGGTTGCATTTAACCTTCAAGCTGTTATCGCGGGGGAGGATACTGCTTCACAGTCTTTATGAGGGTGTCCAGCTGCTGGACACCTTTGTTGACCAGGAGAGTGGCTGTGTTGATGGCTTCAGGGTGGCCACTGCATGATTCAGGAACTCTTAAAGCTCTTCTAAGGTCATTGGTTGCTTCACATTCCAGAAGATAGTGAAGTAATGGCTTTTCTGTGACAGTTTGGCAGAAGATTATAGAGATGAGTAGTATTTTTAATAAATATTTTGTATCTGTATTTACTAAAGAGGAACTTAACAATATGCCTTCAGCCGAACAAGTCTATGTGGGTGGGGACGAGGACAGGTTGACGAGTTTAGCAGTTACCAGGGAGGATGTTCTTAAACAAATAGTAAAACTCAAACCAAACAAATCCCCAGGGCCGGATGAAGTGTTTGCTAGGGTGCTTAAAGAATGCAAAGAGGAGCTTTGTGACCCACTGTCAACCATATTTAATAAATCAATAGAGTCAGGCAGAGTGCCAGAGTTTTGGAAAGTTGCTAATGTGATACCAGTTTTTAAGAAAGGAGATAGATCACTTGCGTCTAACTATCGACCAATTAGCCTAACGTCTATTGTGGGAAAGTTACTCGAATCTATAATAGCAAATAAAATTCGTCTTCATCTTGAAAAACATAAATTAATAATTGAGTCGCAACATGGTTTTATAAATGGCCGTTCATGTTTAACAAATTTGTTATCTTTTTATTCTAGCATTGTTGAGGCAGTTGATAGTGGTAAGGATTGCGATGTTGTATACCTTGACTTTAGCAAAGCTTTTGATACAGTGCCACATGAAAGACTGATTAAAAAAATAGAGTCTCATGGTATTGGGGGTGCTATATTAAGCTGGATTAGGGCATGGCTATACCAAAGGAAACAGAGAGTTAGTATAAATGGAATCAAGTCAGAGTGGGAAAATGTTGTAAGTGGAGTGCCTCAAGGCTCTGTCCTGGGACCTCTGTTGTTTATAATATATATAAATGATTTAGATTCAGGTTTGAGTAGCAACATTTGCAAATTTGCCGATGATACGAAAATCGGTAGGGAAATTAATTCGGAGGAGGACTCACTATCACTTCAAGTTGATCTAGATAGGGTTTTGAAATGGTCAAAGGATTGGCAGATGCAGTTTAATGCTGATAAATGTAAAGTTCTGAGGTTAGGTAATGATGATAGAGTTACAAGATACGAGCTAGATGGTGTTGTGATTGCGAAGTCGGATTGCGAAAGGGATCTGGGAGTTATGATTAGTAAGAATTTAAAACAAAAGGATCAATGCATAAATGTTCGTAATAAGGCAAATCGGACACTTGGATTTATTAATCGCAGCGTTAGTAACAAGACACCTGGTGTGGTTCTCAAGCTATATCTTGCTCTAGTTAGGCCCCATTTAGATTATGCAGTTCAGTTTTGGTCGCCATATTATAGAATGGATATAAATTCACTTGAACGTGTCCAGCGTAGGATGACTAAGTTAATTCCCCAAATTAGAAATCTTTCATATGAAGAAAGATTAACAAAGCTTAAGTTGCATTCACTGGAAAGGCGAAGAGTTAGGGGTGACATGATAGAGGTTTACAAGTGGATGAATGGACATAACCGGGGGGATATTAATAGGGTATTAAAAGTATCAACACAGAACATAAGAACATAAGAACAAAGGTAACTGCAGAAGGCCTATTGGCCCATACGAGGCAGCTCCTATTCTATAACCACCCAATCCCACTCATATACTTGTCCAACCCGCGCTTGAAACAATCGAGGGACCCCACCTCCACCACGTTACGCGGCAATTGGTTCCACAAATCTACAACCCTGTTACTGAACCAGTATTTACCCAAGTCTTTCCTAAATCTAAACTTATCCAATTTATACCCATTGTTTCGTGTTCTGTCCTGTGTTGATACTTTTAATACCCTATTAATATCCCCCTTGTTATGTCCATTCACCCACTTGTAAACCTCTATCATGTCGCCCCTAACTCTTCGCCTTTCCAGTGAATGCAACTTAAGCTTTGTTAATCTTTCTTCATATGAAAGATTTCTAATTTGGGGAATTAACTTAGTCATCCTACGCTGGACACGTTCAAGTGAATTTATATCCATTCTATAATATGGCGACCAAAACTGAACTGCATAATCTAAATGGGGCCTAACTAGAGCAAGATATAGCTTGAGAACCACACCAGGTGTCTTGTTACTAACGCTGCGATTAATAAATCCAAGTGTCCGATTTGCCTTATTACGAACATTTATGCATTGATCCTTTTGTTTTAAATTCTTACTAATCATAACTCCCAGATCCCTTTCGCAATCCGACTTCGCAATCACAATACCATCTAGCTCGTATCTTGTAACTCTATCATCCTTACCTAACCTCAGAACTTTACATTTATCAGCATTAAACTGCATCTGCCAATCCTTTGACCATTTCAAAACCCTATCTAGATCAACTTGAAGTGATAGTGAGTATTATAAACAACAGAGGTCCCAGGACAGAACCTTGAGGCACCCCACTTACAACATTTTCCCACTCTGACTTGACTCCATTTATAAGAACCAACTCCATTTATAAGACCCACAGGACAGAACACGAAACAATGGATATAAATTGGATAAGTTTAGATTTAGGAAAGACTTGGGTAAATACTGGTTCAGTAACAGGGTTGTTGATTTGTGGAACCAATTGCCGCGTAACATTGTGGAGGTGGGGTCATGGTCAACCCTCGATTGTTTCAAGCACGGGTTGGACAAGTATATGAGTGGGATTGGGTGGTTATAGAATAGGAGCTGCCTCGTATGGGCCAATAGGCCTTCTGCAGTTACCTTTGTTCTTATGTTCTTATGTTATGTTCTAAGATGCACTCTCTCTGTCGGGGTTCACCAATCTCCCAGTTGCATCTGTAACCTAGACGTAGTCTATATAGCCTAACTGCTATTTCCCTGTGGATTCCTTTTGGGATATTTAACCTTTCTAATTTGGTTGCCTGAAGATACCATGTTGCAGATGGCGAACCTTCAGCTATTCTCTGGTGAAGGTCGGCTTTGTTGAGATGTGAGAGTTTTTTGGTGATGATGTTTTTTATGTTCTCTAGGCTGGGTTGAATTGTTTTATGTATCACTGGATGACGAGTTGCCATTTTAGCAATTTCATCAGCTTTTTCATTTAATGGGATTCCAATACGGGATGGGATCCAGTTTAAAGTTATGTTGAGGCCTTTGCCTTTAGCGACTGCTCCAAGATACAAAATGGTGGTAATTATTTCCACATTATCTTTCCACTGTTTTTGTTCTAGTATTTGAAGTGCAGCTTTTGAGTCTGTGTGTATGATTGCATTTTGAGTGTTTTGTGCAATCACATATGCGAATGCCTGTTGTATGGCGAACAGCTCAGTTTGGGTTGATGATACTAGTCCTCCCAGTCTCCAATATGCCTGTACGCTGGTCGTGCAAAGAGCAGCGCCAGCACTTTCATTTTCTGTGTCCACCGTTCCGTCTGTGAAGATGTGGGTGGCTCCTGCTACTGCTATGCTATACATTTGCTCTTCTATTATGCGCCTTAGGATTGTCGGATCATAGGCAGCCTTTTTCATTGGGAGACTTTCTATTACTATTTTGAAAGTAGGCTCTTCCCACGGCGCGGAAGGAGTGTAATTTGGGTGTGGATGATCACCCTCTCTATCAATAATCATGTTTTTTAAATGTAGTCTGTTTAGGACTTTTCCTGCTCTTGCAACCCAAGAGTTTCCATTGTTTTAGCCTAGTCCAACCACCAAGGCCTGCCGTACTGGGATTGGATCAGAAGAAATAATTATCTTACTGATAATTGTAGCTGTCCTTTGTGATATTCTTTCTTGTAGAGAGGGCAAACCCGTCTCCAGTCTAAGAGTTTCAAGCCTGGTCCACATGGGGGCACCCAGTGCGGCTCTCACAGCATTGTTTTGGGCAACTTCAAGCTTTTTCCACTGTTGGTGTGATAGATTTGTGAGTGCAGGTGCGGCATAATCGATCACTGATCTGACTGCCTGTACATAGTATGTGCGAAGGACTTGCAGATTGGCTCCTCCAGAAAGGGAGGTTAGCGACCTGAGGATTGCCGTCCGGGCCGCAGTTCGCTCTCTCAAGTAAGTGACCTCAGCATTAAAATTCATGTGTGTGTCCAGGATGATTCCTAGATACTGATAGGTGTCGACCCATTCTATTGGTTGACCCTGTACTGTGAGTTGGATGTTGGGCTTCGCTATTTTTATGGGCATGGCCTTTGACTTTGAGGGGTTAAGTTTGATCCCAATCTGTTTTGCCTCTTTACTGATGCAGTCTAAGCATTTGGGTGCAAGGCGCGCCGCATCCCTTCCTTTTATGATGATGACAAAGTCGTCCGCGTAGTTTAGCAGCCTGCAGTGATGTGGGAGTTTCAACCTCATTATTCTTTCCATTAAACAGTTGAAG